TGACTGGGCACGTCGTCGTCGTCGTCGTCGTCGTCGTCATCGACCTCCCCAGACATCTGGCCGCCCCAGTTTTCTTTGATGCGTGGCCGCCCGGCCCGGAGGTTTTAACAGCTTCCCTAGGGCTGGCTTCTCGTCCTGATTTGTTTTTTGACAGTCCCAAGGCCTCTTGATGGCCCCCAAAGGCCGAAAACAGGCACAAGCTGACCTCTCCAACATTTTTTCGGAGCCTCGGATCTGTGGCGACCCGGACATGCGATGTTTCGATTTTTTCAATACACGGTCCCTGGAAGTTCCGACCCTTTACCTGGGGCTGTTTTTTCATCCCGACTCGTTTTTTTGACGCTCTCGAGGCCTCGTGAGGGCCCCTGGAGCCTCTTCTCCTCCTCCCTCTTCCCTCCTTCTTCCCTCCTCCGCAGTGCGCATGCGTCTTGCTCACCCTGCACAGCGCTTCGTGACCCCATGGGGAGATCCACCAACGGCCCCAGTGGCGCAGTTCGCATGCGTCTCCCCGACTCAGTACAGCGTTTCGTGGCCACATAGGGAGCTCCACCGAAGGTTCCAATGGCGCAGTTTGCATGCGTCTCCCCCATCCAGTACAGCGTATCGTGGCCCCATTGGGAGCTCCACCGAAGGTCCCAGTTTCGTGTCCCATAGGAAACTCCACGGAAGGTCTCAGTGGCGCCGTTTGCATGCGTTTTCCCCACCCAGTACGGCGTTTTGTGGCCCCAGAGGGAACTTGATCGAATGTTTCAGTGGCGCAGTTCGGATGCGCCTCACCCACCCAGTACAGCGTTTCGTGGCCCCAAAGGGAGCTCCGCCGAAGGTCCCAGTGGCGCAGTTTGCGTGCGTCTCCCCCACCTAGTACAGCGTTTCGTTGCCCCATAGGGAACTCCACCGAAGGTCCCAATGGCGCAGTTCGCATGCGTCTCCCCCACCCACATGCGTCTTCCTCACCCAGAACAGCGTTTTGTGGTCTTGTAGGGAGCTCCATCGAAGGTCCCAGTGGCGCAGTTCGCATGCATCTACCCACCCAGTACAGCGTTTCGTGGCCCCAAAGGGAGCTCCGCCGAAGGTCCCAGTGGCGCAGTTTGCGTGCGTCTCCCCCACCTAGTACAGCGTTTCGTTGCCCCATAGGGAACTCCACCGAAGGTCCCAATGGCGCAGTTCGCATGCGTCTCCCCCACCCACATGCGTCTTCCTCACCCAGAACAGCGTTTTGTGGTCTTGTAGGGAGCTCCATCGAAGGTCCCAGTGGCGCAGTTCGCATGCATCTACCCACCCAGTACAACGTTTCGTGGGTCCATAGGGAGCTCCACCGAAGGTCCGAGTGGCACAGTTCGCATGCGTCTCCCCCACCCAGTACAATGTGGCACCATAGGGAACTTTATCGAAGGTTCCAGTGGCGCAAATCGCATGCGTCTCCCTCACCCGGTGCAGCGTTTCGTGGCTACGTAGGGAGCTGGTCCCAGTGGTGCAGTTCGCAGGCGTCTCCCCCACCCAGTACAGCGTTTCGTGGGTCCATAGGGAGCTCCACCGAAGGTTCCAGTGGCGCAGTTCGCATGCGTCTCCCTCACCCAATACGGCGTTTCGTGGCCCCGTAGGGAGCTCAACCGAAGGTCACACCTGTGCAGTTCGTATGCACCTTCCCCACCCAGTGCAATGTTTCCTGGTCCCATAGGGAACTCCACCGTAGGTCTCAGAGGCGCAGTTCGCGTGCGTTTCCCCTATCCAGTACAGCGTTTCGTGACCCCATAGGGAACTCCACCGAAGGTCCCAGTGGCGCAGTTCGCATGCGTCTCCTCCACCCAATATAGCGGCCCCAGAGGGAGCTCCACCGAAAGTCCCAGTTGCGCAGTTCGCATGCGTCCCGCCCACCTAGTACAGCGTTTTGTGGCCCCAGCGAAGGTTCCTGTTGCACAGTTTGCATGCGTCTCCCCCACCGAGTACAGCGCTTCGTGGCCCCATGGGGGATCCACCAACGGTCCCAGGGGTCCACCAAAGGCCCCACTGGGGCAGTTCGCATGCGTTTCCCCGACCCAGTACAGCGTTTCGTGGCCTCACAAGAAAGTTCCAGTGGCGCAGTTCGCATGCGTTTTCCCCACCGAGTACAGCGTTTTGTTGCCCCAGGGGGAACTTTATCGAAGGTCCGAGTGGCACAGTTCGCATGCGTCTCCCCCACCCAGTACAATGTTCCGTGGCACCATAGGGAACTTTATCGAAGGTTCCACTTGCGCAGTTCGCATGTGTCTCCCCTACCCAGTACAGCGTTTCGTGGGTCCATAGGGGACTCCACCGAAGGTCCCAGTGGCACCGAAGGCCCAGTGGCAAAGTTCGCATGCGTCTCCCCCGCCCAGTACAGAGTTTTGTGGCCCAGAGGGAGCTCCACGGAAAACGATACCGACAATTGCGGTATTCACAAATGCATATGGTTGTGTTCTTCGCCAGGCTAATTGAAGAGACCGTGCCCTGCGTTCCTTTTCCTCCTCGCCCCTCTCCCATTCCGGCGCGCCCCTCACACGTTTCGTGGCCGCCTAAGGAGCTCCACCGAAGGTCCCAGTGGCTGTGACCACATGCGCCCGCGCCGCTCAGAATATCGTTTCGCAGCCCCAGAGGGAACTCCACCGAAGGCCGCCGTGGCCGTGACCACACGCGTCCGCGCCACCCAGTACAGCGTTGTGTGGCCCCATGGGGAGCTCCACCGAAGGCCCCCGTTGCTGTAACCACATACGTCTTCGCCACCCAGCACAACGTTTTGTGGCCCCATAGGGAGCTCCACCGAAGGCCCCAGAGGCTGTGACCACATGTGTCTCCTCCACCCAGTACAGCGTTTCGTGGCCCCATAGGGAGCTCTACCGAAGGCCCCCGTGGCTGTGATCACATGCGCCACCTCCCGACCATTTCGGCATGCCAGTCGCGCGTTTCGTGGCCTGCTCCTACGTGCCCACATGCTCCCCCTCGCTCATGTCGGCATACCCCTCAGACGTCCCGTGGCCCCAGGAGGAATTCCCCCTCCCTTGTCCCACCCGCCTTGCGGTGCTGACACGTGCATCTGGTTGGGTCCTTCGCCAAGAAATTGTTCGGTTTCATATATATATATATATACATATATATTTCTACATATATTTATATACATATTATTTAATTATTTATTCATTCATTTGTTTATTTATATATTAATTTTTATATACGCCACGAACATGGCTTGGGATCTCGGGGTCGTCCTCGTCCTTGCCCTCGTCCTCGCCCTCGCCCCCGCGCCCCCCAAAGAGGCCGCCCCGGCGCTGACGGGGGCCAGCGCCCCCGCGCGGCGCCCGCGGCGGGGCCGGCGCGCGGCGGCTCCGGAGGCCCCCCCCGCCGGTCGGCCTCTCGCGAGGGGCGCGGGGGCCTGCCGGGTTCTCGGCGGCGAGGTGAGCTCCCAGAGATCCGACGCCCCTCCTCCTCCTCCTCTTCCTCCTCCTCCTCCTCCTCTCCTCCTCATCCTCTCCCTCCTCCTCCTCCTCCTCCTCCTCCTCCTCCTCCTCCCCCTCCCCCTCCTTCTCCTCCCCCTCCAAAAGCGGAGGAGTGGCGGGATCTCGACACCTTTCGGCCTCGAGGGGCCCGCGCCCGGCCTCGGGAGCGTCGACAAAACGACGCGGGACGAGGGGCTGGCCCCGGGGAAGTGGTCTGGGCCTCCAGGGCCCGCGCCTCGAAAGACTTGGAGCGGCCGGCTGTCTGGGCTTGGCCTCCTGGGGGCGGACGGCGAAGGATCAGGAGGGAAAGAAACACACAGACACAATGAATCGTCGACTCCCAGGAAAATATGGGAAAATATGGGAATTGGGGGAGAAGACAAAAACCCAGAAAATATGGGAAAATATGGGGACTAATTCTATTTGTGTGTATTTATTTGTGTGTCCTAATTTCCCTTTAAGAACGACGACGGATCCCCAGAGTCTTTCCACAGCCGTCGCTGGCTCTGAGCGGGCGAGGGGCCCGTCGGGGCCCCTCCTTCGGGACGTGCCGTCCCCACTCTCGGGGCACGAGGGCTTCGGGTGCACGCGCACTACCTCTGAGCGATCCTGCTGCTGAGGCCAGGGCCACTCCACCAGGTGGGGTCCGAGTCGATGGGGTCCGACCCTGAGGTCCCGGCGTTGCAGTTTTGTCACAACGGTCGCTTGCGCATGACTTCGGGGCCTGGGACCCTCACAGATCGATCTGGCTCCAACAGTGGCGCAGAAAGATGGTGTCAAGGGCTCCGGTCGTGATCTGTCTCGGCGTTGCATGTTTTTGCTACCCAGACATGCTCTTGTCGTGAGACAAAAATCAGGACGGGAGGTTTTTGGTGGTTTTTGTGTGTTGGAGGGCCTTAGCGGGCCACGGGACCGTCAAAAAGGATTCAGGATGAACAAAATTTGGCGCCGAGGACAGGGTCGGGACTTCGCGGGACCGCGTATTGAAAAATTCGGACGTCGCATGTTTGGGGATGTCGTCCGAGTCGATGGGGTCGGAGGATCGTGGTTTCGAGGTATGATGTTCGAGGTTCGAGTTCTTGACGGGCATCGATAGGGGTGGCGGCGGTCAGGGGCGGTGGCGCCCGCCCCCATCAAAGGGGGGGTGGCAGCGGGAAAGTGTCCAGAGCTCTCAGGCGGGGTCCGAGCCGATAGGGTCGGACGATCTCGCCGCATCGCCGATGCATCGTCAATGCGGCTCGATGGGAAACCCGATTTTTCCCGGAAAGGGCGCGGGCCCAGGGTTCTCTTTTAGTAGGTTAACCCCCCGGCCCCCCTGCGACTTGGGCTGGCGAAATTATTTTGCGAGCGGGCACGCACGGAGTAGGGCCGGCGAAATTATTTTTGAGGATGTCTCGAGCGAAACGCTTGTTTTTCAGAATTTGTTGAGGATGTCTCGAGCGAGACGCTGGTTTTGCAGAGTTGGGGATGTCTCGAGCGAAACGCTTGGTTTCAGAATTTGTTGAGGATGTCTCGAGCGACACGCTGGTTTTGCAGAGCCGACCGCGACACGGAAAAGCGCCCCTCGCGCAGGAATTCCAAGGATGTCTCGCGCGTGCCGCGTCCCGCGCGCGGGTATTTGGATTTCTTGGGATTTTGACAGGATGTCTCGAGCGAAACGCTTGTTTTTCATAATTTGTTGAGGATGTCTCGAGCGAAACGCTGGTTTTGCAAAATTGGAGGATGTCTCGAGCGGTGGCCTCGTGGGGGGCCAGAATTCAAAGGATGTCTCAGGCGAAATGCTTGTTTTCACGTCCCGCTCGCAGGAATTCCGAGGATGTCTCGCGCGTGCAGCGTCCCGCGCGTAGGAATTCAGATGATTTTGACAGGATGTCTCGAGCGAAACGCTTGTCCCCAGCACGTTCCGTAGCGCGTCCCCTTGGCACGTCCCGCGGTGCGTCCCCATGGCACGTCCCTTGGCACGTCGCTTGGCGCGTCCCTTGAGACGTTCTGCGTCGCGTCCTCCTGGCATGTTCCCCTGTCCATTAGCTCTGGGGCAGCTACTATGTGTTCAGGCAGCTCGAGCTTAAGATCCAGATCAGTTCGGTCAGGACTCGGATGCAAAGGAGGACTCGATCCACGAGGCTATAGAGCACAATCGCGCCATGGCACATCGCAATTCAGCACGGCGCAGCACAGCACTGATTTCGGCACGGTACATCAAGGTCGATGCACTCAGCATTGCAACTTGGCACGTTCCTTGGCACGTTCCGTGGGGCGTCCTTTGGCGAGTCCCCCTGGCACGTCGCGTCGCGCGTCCCCTGGCACATCCCGTGGCACATCCATTGGCACGTTCCGTAGCGCGTCCCCTTGGCACGTCCCGCGGTGCGACCCCATGGCACGTCCCCTGGCACGTCGCCTGGCGCATCCCTTGGGACGTTTCGCGGCGCGTCCTCCTGGCATGTTCCCCTGTCCATTAGCTCTGGGGCAGCTACTATGTGTTCAGGCAGCTCGAGCTTAAGATCCAGATCAGTTCGGTCAGGACTCGGATGCAAAGGAGGACTCGATCCACGAGGCTATAGAGCACAGTCGCGCCATGGCACATCGCAATTCAGCACGGCGCAGCACAGCACAGCCCTCGGCAGGGTACATCAAGATCGATACCTTCAGTATTGCATTTGCCCGTCACCCAATCAGGTGTCTTTGAAAACGCTGCCATGTGTTACAGTTCTACATTCCTTTCCGGGTTCGTGGGTCGATCATGTCTCCACGCCGATGGCGCCGATGCGTCGCCGACGTTGCCGATACATCGCCGATGCTTCGGCGATGCATCGGCGTTGTGGCGCGATCCTCAGACCCCGTCTACTCCAGCCCCATCTAGGAGGCCTCTAGCACAGCTGGGCCCGTACCGGCCATCGTACGATCTAGATCCCCAGATATCTCCAGACATGTTCGCGTCGTGAAAAAATCGCGACAAGAGGTTTGTTGTTGCTTTCGGCCTCCAGGGGCCTTCACCAGACTCCGGGACCAACGACAAAACCTCGAGGTCAAACGCCAGCTCTGGGGAAAGGGTCGGGCCTTCCGCGGACCGCGTATTGAGAACATCGGGACGTCGCATGTCTGGGTCCCAAGACCCCCGATGGCAGGGTTTTTCCATGACGCGACCCCCCCAGAGATCCGGCCGGTCCCGAGGCCCGTTGAGGGCCCCGAGAGGCAGAAAATAGTGAAAAACTTCCTGTCGTGACCTTTACATGACCCTATGGGGGTCTGGGTCCCTATAGGGATCCGAGGCTCCGACAGCAATGGGAGCGGCAGGTTTCTGCCGATCTGCGGCCTCCGGGGCCCTCCGCGGGCCCTTCTTGGACCGTCCGCTCCGGACGAGATGCCTGCACCAGGGAAGTTGTCCAGACCTCTGGGGGCCCGAACATCGAGCAAGTTGGAGCGGCCGGATGTCCGGGAAGGACGAGCACGACGACGACGACGAGGACGAGGACGAGGACGAGGACGAGGACGACGACGACGAGACGACGACGAGGACGAGGACGAGGACGAGGACGACAGACGACGACGGACGACGACCGACGGCGACGACGACGACGACGACGTGGACAACGACGACGACGACGGACGACGACGGACGACGGACGACGACGGACGACGACGACGACGATGACGACGATGACGAGGAGGACGACGACGACGACGACCGCGACGACGACGAGGACCAGGACGACGACGACGAAGACGAGGATGACGACGACGACGAGGACGAGGACGAGGACGTGGACAGGCGACGACCGACGAGGAGGAGGACGACGACGACGACGACGACGGCTACGGCGACGAGGACGACGACGGCGACGCCGACGACGACGACGGCGACGACGACGGACGACGACGGACGACGATGGACGACGTTGGACGACGAGGACGACGACGACGACCAGGACGACGACGACGAGGACGTTGGCAACGACGACGACGAGGACGACGACGACGAGGACGGACGACGACCGACGACGACAACGACGACGTGTACGAGGATGACGACGACGACGGCGACGCCAAAGACGATGGACTACGACGGGCGACGACTACGACGACGACGACAGAAGGCGGATGACGACGGACGACGAGGACGACGACGACGACGACGGACGATGGCGACGACGACGACGACGACGACCGCGACGACGACGACGACCAGGACGACGAGGACGAGGAGGAGGACGAGGACGAGGAGGAGGACGACGACGGACGACGACCAACGACGACGACGACGACGACGACAACGAGGACGACGACGACGAGGATGAGGACGACGACGACGACGAGGACGACGACGACGAGGACGAGGACGACGACGAGGACGATGACGACAAGGACGACGACGACGACGACGACGACGACGGACCACTACCGACGACGACGACGACGACGTGGACGAGTATGACGACGACGCGACGAAGGCCGACGACGACGAACGACGACGTCGTTGGTCGACGAGGACGACGACGACGACGGACAGGGACGGACGACGACGGACGACGTCGGACGACGACGACGACGACGACGACGACGTCGGACGACGACGGACGACGACGACGACGACGACGACGACGACGACGACGACGACGACGACGACGACGACGACGACTGACACGGTAGACTGCAAGGAGCTCATGACCCGCGGAAGCGGCGGCCTGCCAGGGGCGAGCCGAGCTGTGCACGTCCGTGCACGGCCCCCCCCCCCCCCGCCCAGACCCTCTCGAGCCGCGCAACAACCGCAACGGGGGCACCCTGACATCCTGGGTCCTCAATTTTTCGAGCTGGCGTTTTCAGGGGCGAGCCGAGCTGTGCACGTCCGTGCACGGGCCCATTACCTCGGGCCTCGGGGCCCTCACAGATCTATCCGGCTCGAACACCGGCGCAGAAAGATGGGGTCCAGGGCTCCGGCCGTGATTTGTTCACGATGTTTGAATTTTTCGCGCGCCGTCGGATCTCAGGGGAGCCCGGACCCCCTCCGAGCATGAACAAATCACGACGAAAGGTGTTTCCTTAACGTCGACCTCCAGGGGGCCCTTCACGGGCCCCAGGGCCGTCAGCAAAAAGACTCAGGATGCGCAACTGGTCCCAGGGAATGGGTCGAGATCTTTGGGTGCCAACGTTATGGACAAATTCTGATGTCGGGTGTCCCCCAAAGAGTCTCCCCAGAAGCCCCAGGAGGACCCCAAGAAGACCAACTCTAGCCCCAAGAGGCCCAGATCAGGCCCCGAGAGACCCCGAAGATACCCCCTGACCGCCTCATAGAGGCTCCCGAGAGGCCTCGAAGGCGCTCCGAGAACCCCCCAAGAGCCAAGAGGCCTCAAGATGCACCAGAGCGGCAACCAAGAGGCCTCGGGGATGCCCAGGATCACCGAGCGTGTTCCATTACTCGCAAAGTACCTACTCGCAAACGTCAGAAAAAAAACGCATGTTAGCCTCGATGTAGTGGAACGGAAAGCCCCCGCGGTGAATCCCGCCCGTGTGCGAGTAGTTGTGTCACCCGGAAAGAACTTACGCCCAGGGTTCTCTTTTAGTTTGTTCCCCCCCGGGTTTGTCTTGAGGTGTGCCGGCGAATTTTTTGGTGAGAAATATCGAGGTCGAGGTGGGCCGGCGAATTAAAATTTGAGGATGTCTCGAGCGAAACGCTTGTTTTTCATAATTTGTTGAGGATGTCTCGAGCGAAACGCTTGTTTTGTGTTATAGCTTGTCCTCTCCTGGGGACCTGAATTCAGAGGATCTCTCAAGTGAAATGCTTGTTTTCACGTGCCCAGGTCTTGAGGATGTCTCGAGCGAGACGCTTGATTTCACGCCTCCAGGTTGCCCAGATAGATGTCTAGCATGAGGATCTGTTGAGGATGTCTCGAACCAGAGGCTTGTTTTCACGTGTCCAGGTCGCCCAGGCGGATGTCTAGCATGAGGATGTGTCGAGGAAGTCTCGATCGAGACGCTTGTTTGCACGTGTCCAGGTTGCCCAGGCGGATGTCTAGCATGAGGATATGCTGAGAACGTCTTGAGCGAAACGCGTGTTTTCACGTGTCCAGGTCGCCCAGGCACAGCACAACCCTCGGCACGGTACATCAATATCGATACCCTTAGCATTGCAGCCTGGCATGTTGCTTGGCCCGCTCTGCGGAGCGTCCCGTGGCGAGTCCCCCTGGCACGTCGCGCGGTGCACGTCCACTGGCACGTTCCGTAGCGCGTCCCCTTGGCAACGTCCCGCGGTGCCCATGGCACGTCCCCTGGCACGTCGCCTGGAGCGTCCCTTGGGACGTTCCGCGGCGCATCCTCCTGGCATGTCCCCCCTGTCGATTAGTTCTGGGGCAGCTAACATCTGCTCAGGCAGCTCGAGCTTGAGATCCTGATCAGTTCGGTCAGGACTCGGATGCCAGGGAGGGCTCGATCCACGACGCTATCAGACATCTGCCCAGCTCCGTCCGTTCCCGGAGGCTTCTCTCCAGCCTCGGGACGCCTTGTAGCAGGTGCGCCTCGTCGAGAGCGTTTTGGGGGTGCCCGAGCCGTCCCGAGCGGTCGGTCGCCGGAGGCTCCTCCACACCTTCTTCACCTTCCTCTTCTTCTTCTTCCTCCTCCTCTTTCCTTCTTCCTTTTTCTTCTTCTTCTTCCTCCTCCTCCTCCTGCTGCTCCTCCTCCTCCTCCTTATCCGCCCTGGGTCAGCGGGGTCTACCTCTCCGCACCTCTCCGCGTTGACAGTCGGACCGCCGCGAGAAGCGCTTGCGAGGTCCTCGTTGGCACTCTGCGCCCACCGTAGAAGGCCCCGCCGGTGGGTGCGGAGAAGCGTGCTGTGAGCAGCGGGGCCTCCTGTGCGAACTGGCGGTTCGACGATCGGCCCGTCCGTCAGCGATGTCAGCTGGCAGCCAGGGTGGCTGACCGTCAGGAGGCGACAGCGCAGGACGACGAGAGACACGAGCCTGCTGCAGCGACAGACGGGCGTCGGAGACGGAAACCCGACTCGCCAGCCTGCCTCCGCCTGGCCAGGCTGCCAGACCTGGCTCCGCGGGGAGGCACGGGGGATGGGGAGCGAGGCCCCGCGCGCCGAGGGCCCCAAGGGCTCTGCGGGTCGGCGGTGTCGGCGGAGTTCACGTGGACTGAAGCCGAGGTGGCCACGAGCACAGAGCTCCTGGCGCCCCTTCGCGCCGGCTGGGCCCGGCGGTCTCGCCCCGTGCGCGCCTCGTGCGGCCCCCGTCCGCCGAGGCTCCCGCACGGGGGGCGCCCCCGTGGGCGCCCGGTGGGCGCCGCGTGCGCTTGCGGGGTCCGCCAGGGCTTCGCTCGAGGGGCGCGTTCGGGCGACCACGTGGGGTCCGTTGCAGGTTGCACCACACAGCTTGCGCAACCTGGCCTGCACCACATAGGCTGCAGCACACACAGCCTGCACTCGTTGCGCCACCGAACCTGCGCCACACAGGCTGCACGGATTACATCGCTTGCACCACCCCGAATTGGCACCAGCTCGATGGCACGCCGGAGGTCGCGCCACACATGCCTCGGTCCTCGGATCTCGGGCCTCCGGCCGAGGGGGCCACCCCGAGCGGCCCTCCGCCCCCCCCCCCCCCCCCCCCCGCCGCCCCTTTCCGCTCCCCGAGGCGCCCGCGCAGCCGCCCCCCGCCTGGCCGCGAAAGAGGCTGGGCCAGGTGGTCGCCGCCGCCGCCGCCGCCGTCGAGTGAAGCAGCAGGCGCCGCTGCCAGAGTCGCCGATGCTGCCGTGGGCGCGGCCGCCGCGGGCGCAAGCGCTGCCGCCGTCGTGAACGCCACCGCCGCTGTCGGCGCCGCCGTCGGGGCCGCCAGAGGACCCGAGGCCCGAGTGGTGCTTTTCGCCAGTTTCTTGGCCCCCCAGGGGCCAGTCCGAGTCGGTGAAACCCCCTGAGGGCCCTCGGAGCCCGATTCAGGAAAGGTGGCGCCGCATCAGCAGATACGACTCGGATGCGAAGAATACAGCTGGCACGAGGGTTGAGAGCAATCCTACCTTCGGATCGCTGGAAGTAACATCGGGCAGGCAACTGTTCCGCCATAAGCCATGCGCGCAGGACAGCAGGGAAGCAGGCAAGCGATCTCAGCTTCTTCACGCGGGCAAGCTGTCGTGGACGGAAGTCCGCAGGTCAGCTCCCGCTCATCTTTTCTAGAGCCAGGCGCAGCGCGTGCAGGAAAGTTGGGCGCCCACCTTTGGAGGGGTACCCCGATGTTTTTCGTCTTTTGGCCATCTCTGTTGGAGTACGCATGGAGGTACTGTCTTCGAAGGTGTTCCATCGGGTGGGGTAGATTGGGCCTTGCTCGCTGGGATCGGCGGCGAGCGAAGGGGCGAAGTGAGAAGGAGCAGGCCTTCCCAGAAGGCGGCGGGTCTTCTCAGAAGTTTTCGTGCCCAGGCGGCGAAACTTCTCAGAAGGCCGGGGGACTTCCGAGCCTTCTGAGAAGGCCCGCCCCTACTCACTTCCCCCCGGGCTTGCCGCCGATGGGAAGGCGGCGACATGGTACCGAAGCTTGCCTAAGGTGTGCTTCCTGCGGTCTCTGGTCTCAGAACCCCCCCCCCGCTGGGGACGGCGGCCCTTGGCCGGGCCTTCGTAGCCAGCCGACTTGGGAACCGCTCTGAAGCTACACCGAGTTAAAATCTGCCCGTCTGGTGTGATCACGACACGACCACGGGCCACGACCACGACCGAACATGATCTGAAGCTAACCGAGTGCAAAGACCAGCGCGACCACAACATTTCGCGATGCCTTGTCCCTCTAGACAACTAGGTTTTGTTTCATGCCGCGTCGTTGCGCGCGGTAATTTTGTAAGTTCCCAATTTTGTTCTTTGCTACGCCTCGGTGCCGCGAGATACACGCAACACGTTCTAATACATATTTTGATGTATATATATGTATTTGTATGTATATGTATATGTATATGTATATATATATGTATGTATGTATGTATGTATGTATGTATGTATGTATGTATGCATGCATGTATGTATGTATGTATGTATGTATGTATGTATGTATGTATGTATGCATGCATGCATGCATGCATGCATGCATGTATGTATGTATGTATGTATGTATGTATGTATATATATATATATATACACATGAAAATTCTATCATAATTTCAAGGCTCCTTGTATTATAATTGCCAGACAGTGCGCTGTAGATCGGCTTGATTCGATGCGTCGTACGATCGTGGTTTTCCCATGGGTAGAGCTCATGGTGTTACAATGCTGGTAAGTGCCAACGCTCCCTCCCTCCTCCCTCCCCGCTCCCTTCCCGCTCCGTTCCTTCCTCACCCTTCCGCTTCCGTTTCCTCCTTCCTTGCTCCTCTCCCCCCTCCTCTTGCGAGGCCGAGGGCAGGGGTGGGGGATGGGGATGGGGGGAGGCGAGATGTCCTACTCTCACCTCGCCCACATCCACCCCTCCTCCGCTCCTTCCCCCCCTCGTCGTCACCTTTCCTGTCCCGCTCCCTGCCCCTCCCCCGCCCCTCCTGGCAGATGGGCGGCGGGACTTAGCGGCCAGAAGGGAGAGCCCTTTCGCCCTCTCGCCCGCTCCTCGCTTCGCCGCTGCCTCTGTCCCGCGGCACACGCCCCCGCCCCCCTGTGCTCAGAGATTCCGTGCGCAGAGCAGCCTTCTCCTCCTCAGGTGGGCGCGCTGGCGGCCCTCATGTGCCCCGGGACTGGGCAGCAGCGAGGGAGCCGAGAGCATGGAGCCGGAGGAGCGGGAGGAGCAGGAGCAGGAACACGAGCGAGACGCTCCAGAGAGGGCTTCGATCCTCGAGAGGATCGAAGGCGTTTGCGGCTCGTCCTTTCGCGGCATGCGGCAGGAGGTGGGCGGAAGCCGGCGGGAGCAGCACGAGGGCGGGCTCTGCGGGCGGGAGCCTGCGGAAGGCCAGCGGGAACCGGAGGCCGTACATTCAGGGCATCCCGAGAGATGCCATGGTTTTTGGGATCCAGAGTTTCCGGAGCAGGAGAAGCAGGAACATGAGAGGGTGAGCGCGAAAGCTAGGGCAGGAGCACGAACGGGAGGGGGGAGAGCAGGAGCGTCAGCATGGTCAGGACAGAGGATCCGCAGGGACATCGCCACTTTGCATCGCGGAGCCGCCTGCAACGGCAACACTATCGGTGCTGCTGCTGCTGATGATCACGACGACCATGACAACGGTGATGATGATGATGATGATGATGATGATGATGATGATGAGGATGATGATGATTATGAACATGATGATGCTGATGATGATGTTGATGATGATTATGATGATGATGAGGATGAGGATGATGATTATGAACATGATGATGCTGATGATGATGTTGATGATGATTATGATGATGATGATGATGATGACCGTGATGATGAAGCTGATGCTGATGATGATGCTGATTATGATAATGATGATGCTGCTGCTGATGATGATGATGGTGATGCTGACGATGCAGATGATGATGATTTTGATGAGAAGCAGGATGAGCAGGAGGAATGGGATGATGAGGAGCCTGACGATGAACTCTGAGGAGGGTGTGGGGGGGGCAGGAGGAGGGTCATCTGGTTAATGAGCAGGAGTGGGATGACGATGCCGATGCTGATGTTGACGCTGCGGATGATGACGCTGATGATGATGATGCTGATGGTGGTGGTGGTGATGATGATGATGATGATGCTGCGGATGATGATGCTGCGGATGCCGATGATGATGATGATGATGATGATGATGATGATGATGATGCTAATGATGCTAATGATGCTGATGTTGATGACGATGTCGATGATGATGATGATGCTACTGGTAATATTCATATTGCCAATAATGATGATGATGATGAGGAGGAGGAGGAGGATGACGATGACGATGACGATGACGATGATGATGATGATGATGATGATGATGATGATGATGATGATGATGATGATGATGATGATGATGAGATGATGATGATGATGATGATGATGATGATGATGATGATGATGATGATGATGATGATGATGATGATGATGATGATGATGATATGATGATGATGATGATGATGATGATGATGATGATGATGATGATGATGATGATGATGATGATGATGATGATGATGATGATGACTTGTCACAGGGTCAACGGCTTCATTGGCCCAGGCTAGGCCCACTCGCATTACCACTCATTCCAGAGACGTCGCAACGGCGCCGCACACTTCGCTGGAAAGAGCCGCGAGAGAAGTTGCTGCATGCCGAGCGCCTGCTGCCGCCGCTCACGAGCGGCACGGGCGGCCTCGGCCATGGCCTCCTTCTCAGCGAAGGCTGCGACGACTGCCGTGGCACACGTTTTCCTCTCCGTCTCGCTCACGCCTGTCCACTCGTTGCGGGAGTCCCTCCACGAGGGCTGGCCCTTGCACCTGCACTTCCCCTTGCCCATTGGCCTTGCCCGTGTCCATGGTCTTGCCCTTGCCCTTCGGCTCGGGTTCGGCCACGTCGACGACCTTCGGCGCAGGGGCGTCGACCTCGACGTACTCCGACTGCGGCACATCCGCGGGTTTGTCGAGCTCGCCCTTCTCGACCTTGCCGAAACCCATCTCCGCGCCGTGCTCCTCGACCGCGACTTTCGCGAGCGGGCCGCGGGGGGCCGTCAGCGGCGCGGGGATGCCCGCCTGCGGCACTGAGACGGCCGACTCATCCGCCAGGGTCGCGTCCTCCTCTACCGCCCTGCACTCCAGCGTCTCCTCCTTGTTGCACATGCTGCTGCTGGTCACCTTCTTCTGCACGCGCACCTGCGCCTTGGCCGTTGCCTCCTTCAGGTGAGAGGGTAGGCCAACTGGCAGGCCGACCAGCAGCTCCTTGTGGCGCCCGTCCTTGAGCCTCTCGACAAGGTTGTCCTCCGACTCGCTGCCCTCCGTGCCGCAAGTCTCCGTCGCTTCGCTCGCCTCGTCCTGTCCAATTCGGCGCCGCACAGCACTCACCGCCTGCTTGCACGCGCTAGGACGCCGCAGCAGCGAGGCCGCCTCATCGACGGCACGCCATCGACGTACATCATGCGCAAAAATGCACCGCCGTCCGACCCGTAGCCTCTGCAGGCCCCGGGCGAGCGTCGCGCCACCCAGCGCGGCCGTAATATCCACCTCGGCCCGGAGCACCAAGGCCTCCTCGGACTCCAGCGAGCCTCAAGATAGCCCCTCCCTCTTCTTGTCCTCCTCGGCGTCGCACAATCGTGTCCCCACCTTGACGCCCATCGCTTGGTAGCACTCCTGCAACTTCAGCATGAACTCCGCGGCCTGCGCTACGGACGGAACTGACGCGACAGCCATGCCATGGCGCACCACCACGCGTGACCTGCCACCTCGCCCCATCGCGCCGACAGGCAGCGGCAATCGCGCGCGCCGACGCACGCTCCCGCAAGCGTGGGACAGGGCCCACCGCCTTGAGCCGAAGATGATTACGGATGATGATGCTGCTGCTGATGATGATGGTGATGAGGACGATGATGATGATGATGGTGCTGATGCTGACGATTCTGATGATGACGACTACTATGATGACGATGATGATGCTGCTGATGATGATGATGCTGATGGTGATGATGATGATGATGATGATGATGACGATGATGATGATGATGATGATGATGATGATGATGATGATAGCGACGATGATACGGCTGCTGCTGATGATGATGCTGATGATGATGCAAATGATGATGATGATGGTCA